GAATTTACACGATTGACTCTTTTACGCCGACTAAAGTCGGAAAAAATCGTTTCAGTAGCATTCCGGAGCTGGGAATTGTTTGTTTACCCCCTCTTGCCCTCTACACAGAGACAAGTTTGGGCGGTAAAAACTTCAAATCAGATGGAGAAACCGAGATACATCGTATTAGCGTTTTCATCTGATCGAATTAATAAAATTGAAAAGGATGCTAGCCAATTCGATCATTGTAATATCAGTAACGTAAAACTATATTTAAATTCTAAATCGTACCCTTATGACGATTTGAATGTGGATTTCGATAAAAATCGATTCGCGATACTATATCACATGTATAATAATTTTCAAAATTCTTACTATCCTGGAAGATATCCTTCAGAGCCACTCCTTTCCCTAAAAAACTTTAAAGAAAAAGCACCGGTTATCGTAATCGATTGTTCTAAACAATCGGAATCTATCAAGTCCGGACCGGTCGATGTGAGGTTAGAATTCGATTCTTCCAAACCTTTTCCGCATGAAACAACTGCTTTCTGCCTCATCATACACGATAACGTTGTAGAGTACAACCCTTTAACGAGTATTATAAGAAAAAGGGTATAAGTAATAATAAAGGGATTCATTGTAATTTATTCTCAGTTTTCATCATGTCATCAAACGGTGCGGTTGTGGAACTTCAATGCTTCGTAGATGATGCAAATAATTATATAGTTAAAGAATTATCGATTTTCGATTTAAAATATAATGCAGCCAGCAATTGGATTTTCAAACCACCTTCTCATCCGGTTGTTACCAGTGCTAAAAGCATGAAAACGAACCGCTGGCTTTCGAAAAATTATCATTTACTAAGTTGGGATGAAGGAGATGTTCCCTATCACAATTTATCATCGATTTTTCATAATATCGATTTAAATTATAAATATATTTTTGTAAAAGGACAGCAAAAAAAAGAATTTTTGTTACAATTTTTGCACTCGTGTGAAATTATCAATCTTGAGGAATATAAATGTCCTCGAATTGATAATATGCAAAGTATACAAATAGTCCCATGTATTACTCATAGAGACTTGAAATTAATGTGTTCATATTATCGTTCGCATATACTAGCAGAGTGGGTATATTCGAATTACGATTTGATTTTCAAATTTTTATAACTTTTGTTTAGTTTTTCTATAATTTGATAATAAAAAAATATATATATATAAAAATATAAAAAAAAAATGTTTCAATTTGTTATTTATTCTATGTTAATTTGATTTCTTATTTTCAACAGATTTTTTTTTGTTTTTGCATTTTGGTCACTGGCACGGTATTGATTTACCTGTAAACCAAAAGTATGTGTGTGTGTGTGTTTGATTTGGTCACTGGCGAGGTATTAATTTACTCGTAAACCAAAAGTATGTATAATTTGGTCACTGGCGAGGTATTGATTTACCCGTAAACCAATGTATGTGTGTTTGAAAATATGTAAAAACAAAAAAAAAAAAAAACCTCCTCGAAATACCCCCACCTTGACGTGGTGAGGAGGCTTATGTCAAAACATGTTTTTTGACGAACCAAGAGGGGTATGAAACAAATTATATCGACCTTAGGGTCACGTGACGAGAATCCTCGAATCTGATTGGCTGATGGTTTCCCCCACCATTCATTTTGGATACGGACATGTGTAAACATGAGTTATTCTTGTATAGACTTGTTTTACTGAGTAAAGGGAGGTTACACAGAGCTCCTCTTCAGTCATTGTGTAGTCGAAGCTCAAGCAGTTAACATGGCTAGTCTCGCTACTCTCCTCAATGACGTCAATCGAAAAGGTGAAGGTATAGGACGGATATCAGACATGAAGGTAGATTTCACTTATGAAGTCGTGAAATTTAAAAGAATCATCACGATATATGGTGTTGCTGTTATTGCACAATTGAAATATCACGGTCCTACCGACATTTATGATATTCATCCACACTGTGTTTTCATGCCTAAAAGATTTACAGAAGTCTTAACTGACGAAAAGTTAAACGAATACAATTACTGTGAAAAAAGAATAAACATAATTTACAGAGGACTAATCAATGGTAGATATGAAGTGGATTTCATATAATTTTTTTTCTTTTGTTGGAATAAATTTTCTGTTTTGAAGAAGTTAGTTAATTTCTATTTTATTTAATTTTTTTTTGTTTTTGCATTTTGGTCACTGGCGTAGTATTGATTTACTCGTAAACCAATGTGTGCATGTATGTGTATGTGTTTGATTTGGTCACTGGCGTAGTATTGATTTACTCGTAAACCAATGTATGTGTGTTGGAAAATATGTAAAAACAAAAAAAAAAAAAAAACCTCCTCGAAATACCCCCACCTTGACGTGGTGAGGAGGCTCATGTCAAAACATGTTTTTTGACAAACCAAGAGGGGTATGAAAAACAAATATATCAACCTAGGGTCACGTGACGAGAATCCTCGAATCTGATTGGCTGATGGTTTTCCCCACCACTCTCTTCCGACCCTACCGCTTCCTTCGCAGTGGACCTTGTCCCCCTACATGCCTATGCATGTTCAAACGTGAAGAGACTTGTCGCCTAACGCAGCTGTACTCTCTCCCCGGCCTTCTATATAACATATGTTATGAAAATAATATTACGTATATTAACTTTATGATTTTTTTTTTTCGATATTAGAGTCTACTATTAGGTTATTATATTTTGTAAAATTCGAAAATGATATTAGTTTCAATTTCGATTTATTACAATATTCGTGATATTGGAGATGTATATTCTTAGATTATTAAATACGTTTTGATATTTATGAAAAAAAAAAAAACAATATATAAAAGTTGATGAGAAGAAGAGGGGGGAGAGGAGGGGTGATGACGTTGTTGTTAATTTTATGATATATTATCGTAAAATTATTAGAATATATGTATATATTTCATCGTTATAATTTATATTCCTTTTGTAATAATATATATTTTATTCGTTACTATTTATATTTATATTCATTTGTAATAATATATGTGTATATTTCATTGTTATAATTTATATTCGTTTGCAATAATAAATATTTTAGTCGTTACACTTTATATTTACTTGAGGTAGACAAGATGGGACCAGTTCAGACATGATATCGTAGAATGTCACAATATATGTCTATATTTATGTCGTTACACTTTATATTTACTTGAGGTAGACAAGATGAGACCAGTTGAGACAGGTCCGGACCTGTCGAACTTAAAAATGAAAAAATACAAATTAGGATTAAGGATTAGGATTAGGAATTAGCCTTAGAGATTAAGGATTAAGATTAGGGATTAAGATAAATCAAAATAAATTATATTGGTCACGTGGTGTACAGGTGGTTAAGGTAAGAATAGCCCAGGGTCCAAAGTCCAAAAGTGCTCCCCAAATTCTGGGATTAAAGTGGGGTAGAACCGGCATTTCTACCCTACTACTGTTAAGCGAAGACGTTGAAACTATAAAACTAAATACGACAACGTTAATGAAAGCCGGTAAAGAACTAGGACTTGAAATAAACGTGGATAAAACAAAATATATGGTTAGCTGCAAAAATGGTGATACTACTGGTGATATCGATATAGATGGTAATATGTTTGAACAGGTAGATAAATTTAGGTATCTATGTTTTACGATAACTAGAAAAAACGAAATTGAAGAAGATATTAAGGTTAGACTGAAGGCCGGAAATGCTTGTATTTTTCTGTGACAAAACTACTTACTTAGCGCCTCTTGTCCCGGAACTTGAAAATTAGAATCTATAAAACAATTATCTTGCCTACAGTTCTTTATGGATGCGAAACTTGGCCGCTTACATTAAGGGATGAGCAGCGTCTTAAGGTTTTTGAAAATAAAGTATTGCGTAGAATATTCGGACCGAAGAAGGATGAGTTAACCCGAGAGTTCAGACGGTTACACAACGCCGAATTGCGTGAACTGTACCCGGGTAATATAATTGAGGTAATTTCATCTCGGCGAATCAAATGGGCTTGTAAAGTTGTTTTGCTTAGTAACGAGAGAATTCCTAAAAGGTTAATATTTGCTGTGCCGAATGGTAAGCGTCCGAGGGATAGACCGAAGCGAAGGTGGGAAGATTGCATTAAAGCCGATCTGAAGGGACTGGGTTTGGACGGCGAACGGTGGAGGGAGGTGTGTAACAAGCGATTGGTGGTGTCGGCATCGAACCTTTGGGTTCGCTAAGCCTTATTATTATTATTTAAATTTCTATCATAATTTCTTAGAACAAACCTTCGGAAGTTGATTATAGTTCTTCAGGTTTTAAGTTTTTAATTTGGGAAAAACTCTCATCTCCCAAAAAATCTTTACATAGTTTTAATTTATATTATTAAAGTAAGAAACAAAACTTTTTTTTTCATTTATTATGAATTGATGGTTCATGATTGGAATAATGTGTAATGTATGTCTTCAATTATTAAGCTTTAGATATTTTTCATTCATCAATTCTGAAAGAAAATCGCCTTATGTTTACACTTTACAATTAAGTGATACTTGAATTACTTATTGATTAATTAATTGTTATATAATATGATTATGGCTTTATAGTAACAAGTAATTTTATAGCTGTATGAATTAAAAAACAACATTCCATTTATTCAGTCTTATTTAATGTATACCACCAGTAGCGGAATTAGGATTTTATTTTGAAAGATTTTATTTTTTCAGTGGCGTTTCTGGAAGGGTTGTTAAAAAAAAAAAAAAGGAAAGAAATAAAATAGATTATCACAATAATGCTTTTAGGGATAATTTTTGAAATATTTTTTTCTAAAATTGAGTAGTTTTTTATACATGTTGTAATTTAAAAATAGAATATATTGTGAATGTTTAAGTATTTTGTTCATGTCACTCACAGAAGCAAAATGAACTAATGAAAGAAGTATATATTATTTTATTTTGGGGAGGAGATTTAGTTTGAGAGATTCCCTTTAACTAAAATCCTTAAAAGAGTTCAACTACACATAGGAAATGAGGGAAAATAAAATTACAAATGTTTTTAAACAATAAACAGTCATTTATTTAAACAATTTAAACAAAAACTATGAATTATCGATAACCAACCAACACGCTTATGTTTTCCATCACTTTGAATAATGATTAAATTATAAGTAATAATTAAAAACATGAAAAAAATAGTAGTACCTTAATTTCTAATAAAAAATAAACAAATTTATAACAAAGTATTCAGATTGTATATATAAAAAAAAAAAAAATGAAAATATCACAGATAGAACAATAATTTATGAAAATTAACATAAAACACAAGTTTTTTTATCACATATAAAAAAATACACAGATACAATTTAACCCCTATATGTTGAAATTTCTCATATCATTTTCCCCTCAAATTTTGCATTTTTGTTTTAAAAATTTTCTCTATGTTGAGTAAAACTTAGATTCTCCCCTTAACATGTTATAGTGTTTTGCACTGGTGCATTATGGCTGAAGTGTAATTCAATATAATTCACTGTTATTATTTGGATCTTATCAACAATCTATCTAGTGTGTTATTTGGTATACGTTTGTACTTCATAATATTATATATAGGGCAACAACAAGTATAAATTACCCGTAGAGCTGTATTTACCTTCCATCTACAAATAATATATAACTATGTGACCCATATTCTGCTCACAGTTTGGTAAAATATATTTTCATGTCTCCTCACTGAAGTATGATGGCATAATTATAACCCATGGCAAATTCTCCTATAAAAAAACTCTCAAAAGTTTGATTTTTTTTATTTGAAAATAAATCATCATAAAAAAATCTTCAGTTTTGTATTAGTACAGAAGCAGGACCTCAAGATAAGAATATATATAGAATAGGACTTATATATATATATATATATATATATATATATATATATATATATATATATAGGAATATATATATAGTGCAAAAAATCATTTAAAAAATAGTCAAGAAAAACAAAATATTATATGCAACAGAAGTATGTTGAAAATTTTCTTAATTAAAACAACCAAATGAGAGAATTGAATTTGGGCCATTTTTAAAGTAGGTGAGACATTTGATTGTGGAACCACAGTTATATAAGATAAATCAATCTTTATATATAACCTCGATTGTTGTCAAGAGACCACATTGGAGGCAAAAAAAAAACCAGGAAAAATTATTAAATTGTACTTTTGTCTTTGATGTAACATGGTAATTGTTTTTTCTATGCTTAAAAATGTCTACATATATTTCTTTATTCAAGAAATTGTGATGTGCTACATTAACTGGCACCCGAGCAAGCTTCAAGATTGTCATTCTCTCTATTATCCTGCAGTTTCAATTTATCTGTTTACTGTCTTCCCCATATATTCTAAAATTTGCTGATATTTGAGAAATCTAATTGAACTACTTTGTTTTATAAAAATTATTAAACATTGTAGAGTTTTTTTGGTATTTTGGCGCACAAAAGTAATAAACTCCAATTCACACCCTCCAATTCCTACACCCTCTCATAGAACTTCAAGTCTCATTTATAGAGGTTTCAATTGTACAAACAAACATAACGATTCAGTAAAAAAGTTGAACAGAAAATTAAAATGACACTTATAAGTTACAAGTCCTAAACATCAAAGTATACATCAAAATTTGTCTAGCATTTAATCATATTTAAAGGACATCATTAATCAATTCAATAAAAATATAAATATTATATGAAATTCATAAAAATGCATTTTCATTTTGATAAAATTAAGTATTATAGTTACATTATAAATAAACATATATATAAATCTTTATGAACTATAAATAATATTGATATATTTCATTTTAGTTCAAATACATTATTGATAATTGCAGTTATAATTAAAAAAATATTTCAGAAAACTTAAAAAGTGTCAATAATTAGAGCCTATATTTTTGCTTCCGGTTTCAGAAATAAAAATATTGATTTTGAACATTAAATAATAACACATCTACTTCTAGCCAATGGTTACATTAAAACTATATTCAAAATATATCTTTAATAGCTTTTATAAAAAATAAAAAATAAAGTTATGAAAGGAAAAAAAAGACTTGTATAGTTTCTTTAATGATCAAGTGCTTCAATAGAATATAATTAATTGAAAACAAATTTTAGACATAAGCGCTTTGTTATTCATTATATCGATAATATCATAATATCGATTATAAAATTATTACTATCCCCTGAAACTGTAATAATTAAAAATTTACAACTAAATAAAATTCTATATCTTTCATAATTTTAAAAATGATCATAAACTGTTAAAAATACTTAATCTCAAGATTTTGTAAGTATCCATTGCTACATATGAAAATATATTTTTAATAATGTTTGTGATACAATATCAAGAAGATAAGAAATACTTCAAAATGAATATATACTCCTTTTGCCAATTTTTAAAGTGAAATATAATCCTATGAAAAAAAAGTAAATTATAACTGAGTTAGATATACTCTGGAAAAAATATTTATTTATTTTTTTAAGTGTTCCTTTAAGTCAAGACTATTGAAATTTCAGTTCTACATACAGGAGGAAATTGACGTGGGTTCAATTCCACTGATTTTATACTCCAAACATAAATGTTAGGTGACCCACTATAATTGGAATTTAAAAGTACATAACCATTTCCAAAATCTTCCAGAAAGGATGTTCATTGTATTAATGAGAAGACTTTATTACATCACTTTCATATTTTGATTGCATTAATTTCACAATATAAATGTTCTAACATCAAAATATATATTTCAAAGATTTGCACTTATATCAAAACAAAGTAACATCACCATATAACGCCACAGCTGTTGGCAATAGACCATTCAATGGTACTGGTTGAACCAAAGATGGCTGAAAGTAAGCTTACATATATATTTTTTTGAAATATTAATTCTTGCTAATAAATGCTAGACTAATATCAGAGAAAAAGGATTGTTTAAAACTAAACTCAGAATATATACACATAATTATAAAATATTTTCATTAAATATTTAAATTATAGACAATACTTAACATTCACATTAAAATACACATATTCATTAACCTATATTACATATCTGTTTTGGCACTAGTTGCGAATTTGGCCTCATTACTTTGGGAAAATAATTTTAATCTTTTTTTTTTTTTTTAAAGAAACTACTTTGGCAACCTGCTTTGGAAATAAGTTTAAATATATAATACATTCTATAACTTTGGCATAATCACTACTAACATCCATGCCTAAGACAATGATAAAAAATATGATTACTGTAAACTATTAAATCATCTCATATATATATATATATAGTACACATAATTAGTATAGTTATTATTTACAATGAAAACCAGGGATGAAAGAAAATTACCTTTTATTCAAATAGTAGTTCTAACTGATTAATCATGTTAACAAAAATGTAATTACATTAAGACCTTAATTTATTTATTTTTAATTTAGTATTATTAACATTTTACAATGTTATCAACAATAAATTATATAAGTGACTTTTCAAATCTTTGATCATTCCTCCTTATTATTACCATAATAAGAAGCTTTGATGATTATCAAACATATTTTTTCAATAAACTGTTTATTGTTGATTATATGAAGATTTTTTAAATTTAAATAACAATAAATATAACATTAAGATTTAGATAATTATTGCTCAGTACTTATTCAGCTATTTCAGGCTGATTCATTAATTCATTATTCATGAATAGAAAATTAATATTAACATTATATATGTAATTTTCATAACAAGAAATAATGGACTAATTAAGTATGTAATAGTATTTATTTGTTAGTAGCCATTCAAAATAACACTGTATCTTGAATATCAAAATAACCATTTCAACACCTATATGTGTGGAACTGAGAATTTTCTATTGAATACAGAATAGAATTAGTAAGATCTTTAGTGCATTTTCTTATAGTTTCAGTCTTTCAAAACAATTCCATTTAGTTAAGATTAATATTTATCAAATAATTTACTAGTAATTTTCAATAAAGCTAACTATATCTGTTATTACGAGCATCCTGAAATTTCTAATATACATAAAAGAGTAAATTAAAATAATAATATTGGAAATTGGAAACCCGTGGTACTTATAAGTAACAAAAATATTCACTAGAATAATTATATGACTTTTATACATCCCTGATCCTCAACAATTTCTTACTATCAGAATTAAATCAGTCTCCATCATAGAAAACACAAAGTGTAATTTATGGCACACGAGAAGAAAAATAATCTCATCTGATTTTGACTTTATAACAATAATATTAAAGGTTATGATAATAAAAAAAAAAAACTCATTTCATTTAATCAAAATCAGAAGACTGAAATATGATATTTTTGTGTAGCCTTTGACCATTATTGCACAGAAAGGTGATATTTACTAAATCTTAGACATATTTATATATAACACTTAAAATTGGGTATTTTAAGAAATGTAACATCAACACGACTTCAATCTTCACTGAGGTAATAATAATAAAAAAAGTTTAGGATAAAAGAGAAAGGAATGTGAAAAATTTGAGCAAACTGCCAATCAATGAAATATAAGTCATAGCACTAATCTTGCATCTATAAGAATCAACAGAAGAGCTATCTCACAAATTTTTCAACATTTCTTCAAAAAATAGCCATTGCATTGCAGAAACTACCGTCAAATAGACAATAGTATAGCCTCTCAGTCTATTATGACATTTCAAATGTCATAACATAACGACGGAGCAGGTAATGACGAGCGAACAGTAAATGAAAGGGCAACTTATAAGTTAAGCAATAACGCTATCAGATATAGAAGAATGGTCGGAAGGAGAAGAGCACCACTGTCTTTGTTCGGTTGATGAACGATGCGAGCAGCTGTCAGAATGCTCGTACTCGTGATTGTTTTCATTCTTGGACTCTGCCTCTGAATGAGAATTGTAATCTTCTCGGCTTCCCTGACACAGGCTTCCCGCTCGAGAGCTGTGGGTTTGGGTTTAGTAGGGACGATCATCACTAGGAGCTCCATCTCTATGGTAAGATGTCCTCTCAGAGCACACTCGGTTATGCTCACTTCCCTTTCCAAATGAGCCAAGACTGTTTCGACACTGAATTGTTCGAGGCCGTGTGGGCTGATCAGTATTCCTCTCTCCACTTCCTTTTTACTGAAAAAAAAAAATCAAAAGCAAGAATTGAAATTTGATCAAATAATGGTTGCAAACTAGTTCAGTTAATATATCAACCATATAGTAGAATATATCAACCATTTTTTAAAAAGAACTTTTTAATAAAAAAAAAATATTCTGTAGATTAAATAAAATGTCTTTATGTAAAATAAAAATGCACTTAAAACAAATATTCAATGCAAAGTTATCAAACAATTTTTAGATTCATAAAAATTTATCATAAATAAAAATGCACATGTTGGTTTGTTCAAAACCTGATTTTCTGAAAGTTCTTCACTGATTGGTTTGGAATTTTGATAAATGTTAAAACATGGATACTAACCAGCACCCTAGGAAAAATTGTTGAAAGGTTTGAGGGAAAAATCCTCTCCAGGATAACTGGAGTGATCTGGGTTTATAGTACAAATACATGGAGAAGAAAGACCAATAAAGAAATGCTTACAAAAACTGGTAAATAAAAATCTCATGCTATGAAACCATGGAGGTAAGATGGACATGTAGCTCGTAGCAATCCAACAGGAAGCCCCTTCGTAACAATAGATACCTTAATTGAAGGCAAAAGACCATGTGGAAGGACAAAAAGCAAATGAATAGAGAAATTCAATAAAGATGCAATAGAGCTGCGTGCAGATAAATAAAATAAAGAAATAGCCCAAGACAGGCAGAGATGGAGCAGGCTTGTTAAGGTGGCAAAAGATCTACATGGTCTGTAATGCCAACAGAAAAAAAAATAAAAAATATATATATATATATATATTTTTTTTTTATATATATATTTTTATATATATATATATATATATATATATATATATATATATATATATATATATACATGTATACACACACAATTATAAGATGCCGTACTGGTGACAGGCAAAAAAAATAATTTCTGTTGTGCCAACTGTTGCATATGTTGTACGTAAAAGTAACCCACACTATAATAAGTAACTAAATATTTTTTTCTATTCTTATTCAAATTTTGCTTACTTTGTAATTTCAAATTTTAATATAACATTTATATATTTAAGATTAAATTGTTAAATTTAATTTTTATAGATATCAATTTATTTTCATTTTGAGAAAAACTTTCTCCATAAAAACTGGTAAAATAGAACTATTTACAAAAATTTCGAAGTCTTTCATTATATCAATACATTATCAAAATATGTTACAGTTACAGAACAGTTTTTCTCATTACTTAAAAACGAGTTTTAGGAAGTTACCTAATGAGGGCTGTAAAGGCACCAGCACAGATTGGGCAACAGGCTGCAGGTGGCGTGAAGGCTGTACAGTGTGGCGCTGCCAGCGGTGGACAATTCACTTGAGCGCATTGCACCTTCGGCTCGTCCGAAATAGTACCAAAAGCCACACAGGGCCCAAAATAATCCACTGAGATGTAGCGAGCGTGGGCTGCACATTCCGACATGTAATCATTGCCATCCACTCCACAAACTATACCCTCATTTCGGCAGTTAGCCTGTAATCAATTAATAATTATTAAAGGTGTAGAGATGATTGACCGTTATTATAATATGAGGAAAAGTTGGTCAGGGGGGTGCGGTCAAATAAATATTATACTATAATATTGTAAGGTTACGTTTTCCATTGAAAAGTAAACAAACAGTTTCTGAACCAAATTATATTTATTTCACACAACAATTATTTTAAATTATTATAAAGACTACAAATCATTTCTCAGGTTGGGTTGAGACAATTAAACACTCACCCTGATCTGCAGCGAATCTTCCTCTGTATTGTTGCTGCAGACATTACTGTAAACATCTACAAATGGCTTCTCTTAATTTTCTATTTTCCTGTCATTGTCTAGCTACTCACTCCTTGCAGGCCGGTCACTCTCTGCTTCCAACATATGGCGCTTACTTTTCTTTCTTTCTCTATTCCTCCGCCTCTTTGTTCATTCCTTGAAAGTAGTTCATGACTTCACAGCTTTGGCGCCTCTATTTAAAACTTTAGGGAGCGGGAAAGCTTAGTGGGTGAGCAATGACTTCCAGAGCTCAAGGCCCTAGGTTTGAATCCGGCTGATGACTAGTAATTTTTCATTAGCGGTTGCTCGACCATGGGATTGAGAGACCCTCTTGGGGCACACCCACCCTCTATAACGTGGGTACTCTTAATTAAATAATTAATTAAATGGGAAAAGCTGGTGGTTGAGTGTGATATTGGCTAAATTACTTCCCTGCACAACACTTGGCCATGTAACAGTACTTCCTCACATAGTACTACATCCAAGACCCGTCATGGCTTGTTGTGGTACAGGTTTTTTTTTTCTTTTTAAAACTCTATTGACCCAGTAACTTCATTATGTAATATTTACATTAAAATAGTATTTTATCGGTTACGTCGATGTTTCGATCCACTTTGTAGGTCTTCATTATGGCTACAAAATATAAAAGATACACAATAAAAATAAAATAAATGAATTATTAGTAGATATTATATAAGAAACAATGGTTTGATAAAGAAATAATAAGATTACATCAGTGATATAGTGGGTGATAGTACAGTTAAAATATAAAGTATCATATATCCAGAAGATACGAAAATGAACATGAAGATGAACAATGAACAAAATGAAAAAAACGAAGATGAACAAGATATATTCACTCAATTTATATTTTAACTATACTATCACCCACTATATCAATGATGTCATCTTGTAAGTTCTTTTATTTCTTTATCAGACCACTGGTTCTTATTTAATATCTACTAATAATTCATTTATCTTATTTTTACTGTGTAACGTTTACATTTTGTATCTTTTGTAGCCCTTCAAATTTGTCAAAACATCGGTGTAACCGATAAAATACTATTTTAATATATAGTATTTATTTGATCACACCCTCGACTAACTCCTTCTCAAATAATTATTAAAAATGAAAGTTTCATCAACACAAATAAAAGAAAAGCATTATTTCTGGAAGGGAGCCACAGGCAATCAATAGTACATGCAATGGGCAGTCACTTAAACAAATAGATGACTATACGTACATGGGTGTTATAACAAGCAGGAATGGGAAAGTTGATGATGAGGTAAATAATAAGATTAGGAAAACAAATAATATTTAATTCCAAATCTGCAATTCTTTAGTAGAGGTAAGAGAGAAGTTGGAAGAGATGTTAAATTATATCATATGATAAATAAAGTAAGACTGTCAATTACAGGAGGCATGTCAGACATGCAAATTGGCTCTGTGCGCTTTGAAATATGAAACAGGGAGGATATAGGTAATATTTTGGTTATTTATCCTGTGTTAATAGAGTTTAGGGTAAAATATTTTGGGAAAAGTAATTTAAATCACGAAGAAATTAAAGAATATTTAAATAGAAATAGTTGGTTTATGCTAATCTGATATTGTAAGGAGGCTTGGGATAGATTTCTGTTGATACGAGAATTAAATTGTGGATTATACTTGTATGATTTACATAATATGTAATATTATTAAATCGCATGTTGGAATTTTAATGCACTATTTATACCTGCTATTGTTGCTCTATTAAATATTGTTATTGTCACATTGCTATGTATTTATATGATTTTAGTGTATACTTTATGTTTGATAAATATATGATGAATAATTCACCTTAATTAATGTTTGCTTCATTTATATATTTTATCATTGTAATTAATCTATTGTTCACTGTTCGACTTATCTTCTAATGGTATTTTAAACCAACATTATTATAGCTATAAATGTAAACATTTGTTTCAATAAATGCATTATTATTATATTATCATTAAAGTAGGACAATTGTGATCAGATTATGTGTTTTTTATTATTACTAATAAAGTGAATTCCTAATCTATAAGTTTAAGTATATATATATATAAACCACATTAAATTGCTCCATAGACAACAAATGATTAATAAAATATTTCTAGTTGATTGTTGTCTTTAAACAATAATTACCAAGCAGCGTCCAAAGTAGGCCAGTGTTTTCTTCTCCTGCACCAAATAACAGGGGTTTTCATGAGTATGGCCTTCAGTATCGCACACTGGTTCCTCAGGCATGTTATAGCAAGACATCTTGGTATTGACTGAAAATAATTTATATAGCGATATTATTTATCTCAAATAATAGAAGGAAAGCGTAGGTTACACAATATATTTATAACAATGAAAAGTAAAATGTTAAATAAATATATCAGTCCCGCAGGTGTCTAAATATGAAACGGAAATTCGTCTATAGATGGCCATGTCTATAGTTGTTAATGTGGTTAACATAAAAATGAATTATTGGCACTATTTTGTTTCTTCGATAGCTAGCAGATACTTTCAACTAACAACAATACAAGTTTCCTAAAACAGCATCATTTTAATATTATACTTTATTCTGGGACGAGTCCCTTTATAATAATAGTCAAAGACAGAAGTGTGGGCTTTGAAGTCTCAGAGATATATAAGAAGAATTCAGACCGCACTGCCAGAACCAGGACCATGTATTCTCTCTAAGGACTATCATTGAAAAGGCATGGGAACGACGGAAGAGCATTTTTCTGGCTTTTCAAGGTGGCATTTGATAGACAAGAAATATGGGTAGCTCTAGCCACAAATAATGTACCCAATGCACTAATAGATGCTATAAAATCCATGTATCACAACGCAAAGGGCATAATAAGAATAAATGGAAAGGAATCCGAACCTTTCAAAATGAAAAAATAATTAAAACAACGAGACAGCCTTAGCCCTCTACTGCACGCCATATTCATGGATGAAATACTAAAAATATGCAAGAGGAGGACAGCACGGACAGTTATAGAGTGAGAAGCTCAGCTGGATAGAAAGCGAATGATGCTCAATGCAAGTAAGAGGAAGGTAATGTGAATGGAACGAAATGAAGAAAATGCGGAGATCCGATGCAGAGAAGAAACCTTAGAGAAGACTGAGGATTATACCTACCGAGGTACAGTCATCAGCAGGAATGGAAAGATCAATGGGGAGGTTTTCAACTGGATCAAAAAGGCAACCAATGTCTACTACCAACTATGCAATACGATTGCTGGAAAGAAAGGAGCGGACAAAAACGTGAAGCTGCACATTTTCATGGCTATATACCTACATACTCTTCTCTATGGTAGTGAAAGCTGGGTCCCACTGGAGCCGAGTAACAGCCGCAGAAATGAGATACTTGAGGAGAGTGGCTGGCCAAACCGGAAGAGATCTGGTTAGAAATCAGCGAATATAAGAAGACCTGGGAGTTTCAGTTATAAAAGCAGTGGTTAAAAGAAGGCAGCTGAAATGGTTTGGCCACCTTTGCAGAATAGAGGAATATCAGAATCCAAAGAAGTACTTCAAAGCTAGGCCAATTGGAAGACGTCCCCAGGGCAGACCTAGACTAACGTGGACGGACAACATCTCCAAGCTGGGACAGCAAAGAGAACGCAGGCTGAATGCCATGAAGGTGCTGGCCAGAGATCGGAATGCATGGCTAGCATGGACTGAGGCACCTCCACGCTGAAAGGCACAAGGAGGAAGAAGAAGAAGAAGAAAAAGAGAAGAAGAATTGTATTATATTAAAATCGTTGAAAAAAAAAATGTTACAATGTAAAAATTATTTACTTATTATTAATGGCAGTGACCAATAGATTTTGATGTTAATAAACTCTAATCATTAAGAAATACAGCCATCTTTAGATGGAACAAAATGGCCCAAGTAATGCAGTTAAAGGGTAACTACATTGACAAATACAGCCATCTGTAGATGAATTCTGGTTTCATATTTAGACATCTTGAGTACTGATATGTTCATTCAACATTTTATTTTTCTGGTTGAGTAGTTGGTCGGGAGAGGGAGAGGGTTGCAATCAGAGAGAAAACACAAATAAAAATAAAAGATTTATATTACTACATTTTTACTAATACTACTACTATTCGTTTGCATTAATGGACCATGCACTACCTCAGCAGCTCTTTAATTCTTATGGAAATTTACAAAATTGGCTTGATGATATTGGTGTGATTTTTAGTAATAATCCGTTTATTATAAATAGTATATTTCATTAAACAGATACAGTAAACTGTTTCACTGAAAATTAAACAGATAAAAGGATTACCTTCCATTAGAAGGGGTTCTTAAAATCAGCACCTACCTAACTCATCGATGGCATCGAACAGATCTCTAAACTGAGCTAAACGAAACCATCAATGAACTCAGAGCTGAGTTTAGGAACTTATCAAGAACATCTCATAGTATAAGTTAGTAAGTGGAGAAAGCAATACCAACGGGAAAGGAGGGAAACGCTGAATCTGTTTATTTTAAACAGCTTTCGAAACAGATTCAGAAGCTGTTTAATTTAAACAGTTTCTTGCAACAGACGCTGGAAGCTGTAGTAGACATCTCCCGGTATTTATTCCTTTGAGTGACATTGGGTGAGGGAATGAGAAGGAATATATAATATATAGGAATGTGAGGTTCCACTGTGAATTGTACTCAATTGTGCAGTGGACAAATTGCTCATTGGAAAATCTCAAATCGATAAACAATCGAAAAGAAGAAAAAAGGTCCGATCAGGTAGCAACAGATGGCGAAGACGATGCCAAACACTTGAGGCCTGGACACCAACATAAGAAGACATCATCTGGGAAGAGAGCCTTACTACATTGAAGACTAAGATTATCAAGCCAACCGTTCACTTATATATATTCATTTACTATCAGTTGTTAAAATAAATTTGTTTTGTTAGACAGGAGTGAATAGTCATTTTATTTAGTTGTCCTATAGGCCTCACAATTGAAGAATAAACCAGGTGAGTTAATTCATTCAAAGTGTTTACTAAGTCCCATATTTCATATATGTATTCTTATTGTTTCTTCTCACTCAATGTCACAAAAGGTATTAGATTCCCAAATTCCCAATCACAGTTAAACACCCTCAAAAAGATCTATATCCAGTGCCGGGTTTTTTTTTGATAATTCACGAGTGTAAATAACTTCAATCCCTGATATAAAAGCGGAAGGCTATTCGCCTATTCCCGCCAAAACTAATCATTTACAATTAACTTTCTGTAGATTATTTACAAAGCTGTTTAATTTAAACAGTTTCTTGCAACAGATCAGCTTTCCGAGACAGATACAACTCCCTGCAACAGCTTTATCTTAAACTGTATTGATAGCCGTTTTAAATGAAACACTGATCATTGCACTGTTACAACCTATAAAAAAGCTATATATGCAGTTTCTGTTCAACGAACAGTTTTAGCAACTCATTTTTCTGTCTAATTAATACATGATTGTTATTTTCATCAATCAATTTATTTATTATCTTAATTTTTATTTATTTGTTTTGTATGCCTCTACCCGCTAGGGTCATTGGCAATCGCCAATTCACTCTCACTTTTTATATACTATCATAAAATCCAATAATTTTTAAGAAGTCCAGGAAGCTGCTCGGTCAAGTAAAGTCTAACTGCCAGGGCTTCATGTGGGGTTGTAAGTGTCACCTCTTCAGAGAAAATATCTTCCCTTACCGATGTAGAAACACCACCCCAGGACCTGTCGGTACACGCTCTGTCTCTTCTGTAGGTTGTATATCCCTTTATTTTCATGTTGTTTTCATTTAGGTGTGTTTCTTGCAGGCAACAACACAGAGGACTTTCTTCACTAATCGGCTTCTGAAGGTGTTCAAGGTGTCGGAAAAAACTGTTACATTTCCATTGTATGATACTCTCCATTATCTAAATTTGTCCTTTCATCCCAACTACTGTCCCTAACTACAGAAAATGTATTTTCAGGTTCAGATGATCCAGAAGATTCGAAAGATTTTATGATTTTCATACCTCTATTTTCAATATTGTTTCTGAGTTCTTTGAGCATTGTTTTTAAACCTGCAAAGTCGTCGGTAAATTGCCGTAATAGTTCATTGGCTGTGCTATTTATCTTAATTTTTATCAGCAATTATAAAAATAATTTTCTTTGTCCCATAGTTGATATATTATGAAATTAGAATTAAAAATTGACAATTATATCAATAATTACTTTGGAGATAAAAATTATATTTACAGAAATTTTTTTTAAAAATTTGAAACAGTTCTATCTGTTTTATTAAAACTGTTTTTTGAAAGTAGCAGAAACTGTTACTGCAAGAAGACTTGGCTTGGAAGTCAACACTGCCAAAACAAACTATATGGTTACAGGAGAGGTGCCTAGGCCTGAAGAGGAGGTAAACTTCGGAGAGTAGCAATTTGAGAAGCTAAGGATTTTGTTTATCTCGGCTCATTAATCTTCAGTTAGACAATGCTCATTAACAAGAGGTCCAGCATATGATCATAGTATCAAATCAGTATTATTTATGTATGGCATGGCAGTTCCGGAGTAGAGCTCTCTTCAGAAGATCAAGGGTGTGAGACTTGGACTACTTCCCGGGTTTGTGAACAGGAACTCCTAGTCTTTGAAAGAAGAATCCTCAGAGGTATTTCTGGTGTTCTCGTCAGAGGAGATTGAAAAAGGAGGAAAAAGCAGGAGCTGTACAGTTAAGGAATCCGATATAGTTTGAGTGATGAAGAATGTAAGACTGAGATGGGCAGGACACGTCATCAGAATGGACAGTGAGGATCAACCAAGGAACCTGTTGTTGGAGCCATTTCATGAAACCAGGAGAAGAGGAAGACCAAAGCTGCAATGGACTAATGGTGTTGCTGCTGATATGACACATATGCTGAGTCTTCAGAATTGGATGGCGGCTGCAAGGGACTGAGACAATTGGCTGAAGCTGCTGGAGGAGCCAAGGATTCGACACCAAATTGTAGAGCCACACTAATAATAATAATTATTATTATAATTTTTTTTTAAATAAATAGGTTTTTTTTTTAGACCAATTGTCTGATGATAAATGTTTGAAGTGTGACAATGTTGCAAAAATTTATCATCAAGCAATTGGTCGAAAAAGAAAGTTAGTGAATGATTTTATTCCTTATTATAAGAACAATCCAAAAGAACTTATCCAGAAGAAAGGAATAAAAGTGTACTGGTATCAATATTTTATAACAGACCATACCATGATCCATAACAGATCTGATATCGTGTTGATTGATAATAATATGAAGACAAGTGAGATAATAGATATCGCTGTGCCAAATGATGGGAACACCAACTCAGTCTGCACCGAAAAAATTCGAAAATATCAAACTCTTGCAGCCGAGTTAAAAGATTTGTACAAACTGGATTAACAGTAAGGGCTTTAGTGATCTCTAGCAATAGGTTGATTCCAAAATCCACTGTAGAAGCTTCCGAGAAGTTGGGCCTCTTAACAGCCACAATAAATGAAACCCAGAAAACTGTGCTGCTGAACACTGTGAGAACCATAAGGAGCTTCCTAAATAGATTTAACTAAAAAAACTGATTTGAAGTGGCCGAAGTTGATTCTTTTCCACCTCAGGAAAATACCTTTTTTTAAGTGTAAAAAAGTAAAGAATAATAAGAATAAGCAAAAACTGTTACAACTGCTACTCATAATAAATAATTTTGCCCATCATTAGTTGATGGCATAGCATTCGTAAATTGCAGGAGAGATAGGAAAAGTATATAGCTTGACAATAAGCAATATTTTTAAATATTTTTATGGAATAAACTCTTAAACCAAAATTTTGGACTTGTATATACATATACCTGCTACTGGATTCATTGGATTGTTATGAATTCACAGAAATCATTCATTTAGATTCATATTTAAACACATTAGTATATATTAAAAAAAAAATATTAAGGAAAGGACCCTATATGTCCCAAGGGAAACAATATACTTGTATATCTACTTAACCATATTGATGCGTGATTAATGAATTTGACGTTATGGAATATAACAAAATACTCACCACACGCATATTGCGGACATTTGTGAATCTCCGTAAAACAGGCAATCCTCTTCGGCAAGCACACTTCAGACGGCTGGCAGATGTCTCTTTCAGCACAAGGATTAAATGCACTGCACTCTCCAGTTTTGATTTCAGCCACCATAGCACATCTTTAGATGAAAAGGTATTAGAATGTATTGATAATTTTTATACCATATTGCACAGATATCTAATTTAGTGAATTATGAGTAATATGACCATTATTTACTTGTTTGTGTAGACAACTTAATATTATAAATATAATTTAATAAAAATTTATAATAGCTTCGATAATTTTATCTAGTGATGTTTTAAAATGTTATATATAAAGCTATTAATTAACATTGTATAATAGTAGAGCAAATTTTCATAACCACGATCAAAAAAACCTGTATCATAAAGAATCTAATTTATTAAATGTGAGCGAACAATAGTTTTACTCAAGGGTTAAAACTTTCAAAGAACTTTTTTAAAAAGTTTAATTTAAACAGCTTATGTGAAACTTTTCCGGAATAAAATTTTTTAAAAATAAAATTTCAAAGAAATTAATTTGTAATAATGTTCTATGCATATAGAAAAATTTGAACTTTTTATTTATTAAAGTTCTTAAAAAATGTTAAGATAAATGAAAAAAAACAATAGGAACTGGGCTTAGATTAGAGTTCTATTTCTGTTAAATAGTTTATCGGCAGAGTTCGTCTACTAACTAGGTAATAAAAACTCAGTAACATTCATTTGCTTTCCAATTGAATCATAAGATAATTTGATCACAAAATCGAGAAAAAAATTGGCCTACAAAAATATTGGACTGTTTGGCATGACCTCTACCTCCATCATCTCAAAATAACGAGGTTATATATATATATATAACTCATAAACCATCAGTCTTAGAGTATCTCTCTAACAGTCAAGAGCTTAACTAGTGCTTCTCCCTATCTTATATGATTTAAACAGTGACTTGAAGACTTTTCTGCTATTTTTATTCACAATTACTTCGTTTCGTAATATCACATTAATATTACAATACAGTTATTTATGGTGATATCAGTTATATAGTGAAAAAAAAAAAAAAAAGACGTGATAGAAGCAGCTGAGTTGGAGTAGTGAGGATAGCTAGCATCAGCCTGATCCTACCAGCCTTCACCCAAACAAACAGGTGCCTTTGTTGTTGTTATTACTTTCGTTTTCTCTCATTTTAAAGCAATTGTGACATATTTATCTACTTTATTTTTTCAAAATGGTTAATTGCAAACTATGCGGAAAAACGGCAGGTAGAGAAGACAAGACTAAATTGGCTTGTGTCACATGTCAAAACATCTTTCATGCTAAATGCACAAAAATTGATTTGACTGATTCAGAAGGCCTAAAAGAAGCCAGTAAAAAATGGAAGTGCACCGATTGCGAAACAGGGTCGCGTACATTGCCAACCACTGAGCCTAATACCATGATAGACCTACTGAGGACTCTGGCCGAGGAAGTAAGGGAATTGAAGTCCAAGCTTCAGGGTTTAGACGAACTAAAAGAAATAAAAGAAACCCACCAGAAGCAATCGGAACTATCTTTCGAGAATATGGAGCGATTATTAAAAATTGAAACACTCCTGGAAGAGCAAAAAACCCATACTGAAAAATTAACCAAAGAAAATAACACATTGAAATCAAAAATATCCGAGCTGGAAAGCCGCCTGAATTCCACAGAACAGTTTCAACTGAAAAACACAATTGAAATCAGAGGAATTCCGGAGAAGGCCGGCGAAACCGTAACTGGCGCGATTCTTAGCGTCGGAACGGGTCTGGGCGTCAAGTTGAGTCCGGACGATCTCGATCACGCCGTGAGACTAAGACCCAAGCAAGAAGGGACTCCAGGCCCAATTATAGTCAGATTTGTCAGACAAGCGGTGAGAGATGAGCTGGTGCGGCAGCGAAGAGAGATTTCTCTACGCGCCATCTAGGCTGGGGAGAGAACGACTCGCACCGCGTCTACGTGAGTGAAGCTATGACGCCCACCAATAAACACCTTTATTGGTTAGCCAGGCAGAAGAGGGTGACGGCAAAAATAAGATACGTCTGGTTCAGTGGGGGTAAAATTCGTTGCAGACAATCAGATGGAGGTCCAGTAGTAATTATAGAAAAACCAAGTGATCTGGACGTTTTCAGCTGAACTTTGTATATAAGTTACCTTCAGCTTGCAATTAATTTACTTTCTCTCACTAGAAATATATTTATTATATTTTTTTCATTTCCAGCTTTCTTTATTTTTTTATAAATGTAGCTTCTCTTGTTTGTTTTTTGTATCAATTTTTACTCATCAGAAATATTATTATTTTAATTTTAAGCTTCTTTTATTTTTGTATAAATTATTTAGAACTTTATTCGATTCCTTGCCAATTTTTATCAATTTATCTAGACCAAGGAGAAATTTATATTTTCTTATGTTATAAATTAATTTTAACTGAATATTTATTTCGAAACACCGAAAATTTATTTTTTTTCATCACAAAGTTTATTTTATATAAGCATTGGTTTTTTATATTTATAAACTTGACATTATGCTTAAAAAATGCTATATCCTATCCTTCATCCTTGATAATTTTTTTTTTTTTTTTTCCAAAATCCTACTTCCCAACCCTCCAGTCATGACGAATATCCTGAATTCCTGTCACATCAATGCACAATCCCTTATTGCACACTAGAATTAATTTCAGGAACATTTCCTTGATAATTTTTACCACATAATAGCAATATCCAAAACCTATTTAAAACCTTTTATCCCTTACTCCCAGATTTACCTGCCCAATTATTCCTTCCTACTATTGTAATAGTATAGAAAAGTAAAATTGTAAATAGTTACTACTGCAAATATGTATATAAATTATTAGAGCGTTCTTCATTATTTTTATTTCATGTTTATTTTCAATTTTTTGTTTTTTATTTTTAACTGATCTAAATTAGTAAGTAACTTATAATTTTTTCTATTATTTTTTTTTATTTTGACTATTTAATTACTGTATATTTTTGTTTATGTATCTCTAAGGCTCCTTAGCCCATATTATTGTCTTTTTATATTATTCTAAAGGGACTTGTCCCAGAATAAATAAAGCATTATTATTATTATTATATATATATATATATATATATATATATATATATATATATATATATATATATATATATATATATATATATATATATATATATATATATATATATATATATATATATGCAAAATGGCCCAACATTTTTGTAGGCCACTTTTTTTTGTCGATTTTGTCATCAAATTATCTTATGATTCAAGTGGAAAGCAAATGGCTATTTATGTGTTTTCAGTACCTAATTAAATTAATTAATTGAATGAGAAAACGGCATATTTCTGAGAAGTTTTGTAGTTAAAAAATTTGTAGATTACGATAAGATGAAGCTATTCTTGAAATTTTAGGCAGATGTTAATAATTTGTGTATGTTAATAATTTAATGTGTTGCAATAATAAGATAAAAGGGGTCAGTACTATGGACTATATAACAATAAAAGTTAAACTTATGTTAAATATTGAGTAACAGATTTAATTATATCTACCCAGCTAAACATTTATTGGGATAGGTCACACCATTGCCGCAAACAGGTACGTAATCCGCCTCGCAATTACATGGAAAAGTGTTGAATCGTGGCGAAGAGATACCGAGTGAAGTAATGTTACACTGCTTCTTGCTGCAGATCGTCTCCCCATGATAGCATGAGCACAGGTTGCAGTCAATCAAATAGGATGATCCATGTACTGCAAGGAAGCACAAAATTCATTTACTATGCATTTAAGTATTAAATAGACATTAGGTGGATTTTTTTTAACTTATTAAAAAATCTCTTAGGTTTTTATTTCTTATAATAGTGCTCAACATGACACTGAAGAGAGCTAAGGAAAGAATAAGACTTTTTAGGCTGGGCCACAGAGGACTAATTCCAGATCATCTCATCCTCCGGGCATATGCCACCGATATTGTAATATTCGAAAGCAATGAAAGAAACCTCCAAGTCCTACAGGAAAAACTATAGCTGCTTAACTTAAAAATAAAATGGAGCAAAACAGAAATAATGAGGATAGGGAGAAGAGAGGAGAGGGGAGACCGAGTACTTCGATTGAAGTGTGAAGAACTGGATCTCATCAGACTACAAATATCTGGGGAAATCAGGGACAGAATATCTTTATATGAGAATATCTTTATATCTTTATATATATGGCCAAAAAATGCTTTCATTCACTATATAAAGGCTTGTTGGGAAAGACTGATGTGTTAAAAAATGTTAAGAAAACTGTGTATAAAAATATATTTGTCCCCATATTCACCTAGGGCAGTGAATCATGGACTAATACCTCAAAGCATAAAAGCGAAATTCAAGTAATGGAAATGCTTGAATGAAAAAATGATAATAGAGGAGAAAACAACAGAAAAGAGGAAAAGAGGCTATGCTGGTTTGGTTGGATATGAAGTGAGAATGGCACATGAAGAAAGGCTTGGGAAAGTTCAGTCCAAGAGGATTTCAATTGGAGAGGAATGAATTGAAACAGACACAGTCAGCTGATGCAAGAAAGAGATAAATTGATTAACAAGAAGAAAAAATCTCTAATTACAGTTGCTATAAAATCTCTCTGTTATAGAATATCCGAGCAGCAATCAATGAAATCAACAATACTTACCATTATCATCACAATTGCTTCCTTCATGGGTGTTACAATCTTCTTTACAATGTTTGATCGAACCTTGGGGTGTGCATTGACAGATTGAAGAAGAACATTTTTTGTCTGGAGTTGGGACACGGACATAAGACTTTACTGGTGCGAGTAAGCCATGTGACTGTCCAAGAAAACAGCCTAAAAATAAGTAAAAAACTTTAAATTAATATGAAATGAAGAGAGAGAGAAAATTTAAAAAACTAGACTTTGTGAAGAATTTTAACTAAATGTTTTTTTTTAACAAGTGCTATCATCGAGTGGTATATTCTATGGTATTTTAAGATATCACAGATTTTTTTTACAAAATTAAAATATTTGAAAATGGCTAAGGGTGATACAAAAAAAATTAAATAAAAATGTTTGTTTCTTGTTAGAAAAACTTTTTTTTTTTTTATAAATTTATAAAGTATGTTTGAGAGAGTATATTTGGCTGTTTAAACCTTAATCTAATAATTGACAATGTTTTTTTAAAAGATATAAATTAAGAAAACACACTATTTAAATGGATAATACTTACCAGGTGTACAGGTAAATACATCACAGTCATCTCGTGGTGAATTGCAAGATCTATTGATGCGACAAATTTGATTTTCTGAACAAAGCGATAATTTGCAAGGTCGTGTCAATGTTTCAGAATATGTCATAGGTGGGTTGAGGTTATCAAAAGCTTCAATACTAATGCAGTTTGTATTGGCTGTCTTGATGCTCAACGAATTACAAATCTCTTCGACAGAAGTATCTTTCATCTTTTCAAAATCTGCACATTCTTCTAACAAGTTAGTACAATTTTCACTAAAAAAAAAGAAATCCAAAAAAAAAAAATGTTACTCATCTTTTAATCGGGATATTAATAATGATAAATTTATATTGGCCAAAAGTACAAAACTTTATGGCAAGGAATTGACTAAAATAGCTTTTTAAACTTCTTTTGGAGATAAATCCTCGTAGATAGGCTGAAAATGATCATACAATGGCTTATTATTTCCAGACAATTATAAAAACAAAAGTAACATTTAATACATAGACTGCCTAATTATATTGAAAGTAAGAAAAAATACCCTTCTTTTTACAGTCTCGTATATTTATATGGCCTTCTGAACCATATTTATATAAAAAATATTTTTTAAATACACATTAAATTAGAATATATATACAGCATACATATATAAATATACAATATACATATATAAACTTACAATAAATTATAAAAGTAGATTTATACATTAAATTTGTAGTCACTCAGGAACCCGCCTATATTTCCACATACCTTTACAATGATCGTTCAATCCTTTTTTTTTATTTCATTCTTAATATAAATTTTATCAATCATTATAGATTGGTGTCTAAATTTACAAAAATATTTAAAAACCAAGGTGTAATAGGTAATTGAGTGTTATAATTCAGTCTATTTTAATAAACCAGAATCAAGAATTAGCTTATAATATCAGTAACTATAGGAGGAGAGAGAATCCCTGTTGTACTTCACTTTCTCATTACAGTATTACTCTCTTTGACTTTGAACGTGTGTTATCATCAAAACTCCCACCCCAAAGTAACCATAACTCCCTCCACAGTTAAATTTAAAAAAGAAAAATTTATTCCTGGAGGATTCTAAAGTGAAAATTAACCTATTTAATGCATAAATCTACTTTTCTAATTTATTGTATGTTTTTATATGTATATTGTATATATATATATATATAAATGTATATATTCTAATTTAATGTATATTTCAAAAATATTTTTTAGTTGAATATGATGCAGGGCACTAAAAGCTTCTAAACATAAATATATGAGACTGTAAAAAGAAGGATATTTTTTCTTCCAAAAGTAGCATTACTTGATTCGTAACATAAAGCAAAATAAACAAAAACTGATTCCTGATATTAGTCTGAATACTTAATAGTTGACCGTTGCACTATTAAGAAAGGAGATGGTCCGGGGTGGCGGTCATATATAGACTAAATAGTGGCAAAACTATTTTATTAAAAGCCAACATTTTGACTTGACTTTGCAGGTCTTCTTCAGGGAGATGAGTTCAGCAAGATGTTTAACTTAGAACAGTTCTAAGTGAAATTCCTTGCTTCCCGGAACAGAATCTTTGAGTTTGGTGTTTAGATTTCTTAATTTACTGTTATTTTTGAAAACTATTTAGATTGGGGAATTTAGAAGTTAAAGCTTTTTTGATTTTTTTAAATAGGACTGGGATATATGGAATGGATCTGTATGGCAAATCGTGGTGGAAGATTGAGAGCAGTTTGTGGGAGACTGGTGAAGATGAATTATTTGATTCTATTTCAATGATAAAATGGAGTCGAGGGTGGTATGAGTTGAATGCAGAAAGTATGTTTGGAATAGCATGGAGATTGAGGAGTAATAAAAGGTCATACACATATTTTTTTTTTTTTTGCAAAACTTTCCTTTACAACATAGGTAAGTGAAAATAAAAACTAAATATTTAATATTATTGATACTATCTATATGTTTAAATAACTAATAAACACTTACTAACAAATTCTTGTAGTTTGCGACAGCCTGTGACATGGCCTTATTTGAATCAAACAAGCAATAGTTTTGAAGTGTTTAGGCTCACATTCGGTAATTTTTTTGATGTAAAGCCTTTTTTTATTTGGTAATGTTATATAATTGTAATTTATTAAATTATTTATAGTGTGTTCTGCATCTTGATCTGGCTGTGTTTCACAAGATCGAAACATATCCGCCGGGCGGTTGTTGAAGTCGGTACAAAAAGATAATCCCTCACAACCCAGCTCACAAGGCTCCACAGCTGTAAAAAAAAAATGATAACTTCATGTTATTATAGATAATATACATTATATAAGTAAACACATAACTAATTTACATTATTTTGTAAAGAGGTTTTTATACATCACACTATATGAAAGACAACATAATTTAGTTTGAAATTTAGTTTTTTCACTAGTCAACGTAAGAAGCTAAGAAAATTTTATTTTGATTTCAAAATGATAATTTTAAATGTTATATGAATTTTAATTTAATATATTTGAATCTTCACTGTCACTACCATTTTCGAGATAATGCAAAACAAAGGATTCACAACCTCACATTGATTCCACAGGGTACATGTCTCAAGTCATTTACTTTAGGTTCATATGATCGTAGAGGAGTTTATATTATTCACCAAAGGTGTTATTTTGTTGGTGCACCATATCTTCATTAATTTTTCATCAAATCTAACAACTGAGCCATCATTTATAAGATTTCTTTCTCCTCCAGATGGAAAAAAAATCACACCCCAAAAATTCAGGCAAAAAAGTACAAGTAAATTACAAATCTAGTGTGCGAAAAAATCATATGGGCCAACTAGTAGTTAAATAATACTATTTAATTTTTTATTGGATTTTTTATGGCTGTTGTTTTTAAGTATATATGAAAATTGCATTAAAGTAAAAAAGGTTATAATAGAGATTAAATAAAAACAATTTGTTAAAACAACTATTTTTTGTATCAAATAAAATTGTGGGATTAATGTGGCCTTTTGCCAAAACCTTAATTGTTTTAGTGATTAAATATAATAATTAAATTAAGATCCAACAAAACCAAAAAAAAAAATCTAGTATCTTCACTTATGCGACATTCCTACCTATTTCAGGAAAGTTTTTATATCTTTATAAGTTTTTATATCATTATATATATGTGCATTAAGAAGCAAAAATAAAATGTTTTTCAATTATAACCCAGCCGCTATTTTGCAGGGAGCACGCAATTTTGTGTCACAGACATTAGTAATGGAAACCCCACAAAATAAAAAAAAAGCAACAAAATCAGTCTACTAGTTCCCGAGATAATCTTGCCACAGACTAACAGACAGATCTATGGCTGAAAATGTGTTTTTCAGGACTCTGAAACGTATGAATCCGTTGAAAACCACACATTGAAAAATTTGACTCGATCGCAATACTTTCCTACCAATACTAGGTAAGGAATACTTTCCTTCAATTCTTTTCTTACCTTGTATAGGTACGAAAGTAATAAATTAAAACATGTAGGAAATAGAATCGCTGTATTTTTTTTTGTTTTGTAGGTAATCTAATTAGCTTTCATAAGTTTTAAAATAAATTTTACAATAGAATAGATACTTAGCAAGTTAGGTCCAAAACAATTTTCTTTTGTCTATGACACTTTTCCTGAATCTTCTCAGAAATTTAGTACATGCATGAAAATTGAAAGAAAATTGTTGTCTAGCCGTTTTTGAGCTACAGTCTAAAGAGAAATGTTTTTCACTTATTATGCAGCTGCTACTGCGCAGAGAGCACCTGATTTGTGTCACAGGCATCAATAGTCAAAACCCTTCAAAAGAAAAAAAGAAGCAACAAAATCGGTCAACTAGTTCCTGAGATAATCTTCGCACAGACAGACAGACCAATGGCTGAAAATCTGTTTTTCGGACACAGGGAGCTCTGAAGCATACATATCCGTCAAAAACCGCACATCAGAAATTTGACCCGATCGCAATACTTTCCTTACCTACTATAGATAAGAAAGTAATGAGGATGTTAATCACAGATATAAATTAAATAAAAGTGACATTTCTATCACAAAACAATAAAATCACTGGTAAAATTTTAACCTTCATCCATGCACTGTGATAAGTTATCTTCAGTTGAATTTATAAGGCATTGGCTGTTAAACTCAGGCCAGGTGTCGAATGAATGATGAAAAGTTTTATGACAAAGCTTCCTGCATTGATTTGATGAAGCTTTGTTACAACAGTGAAGCATTGCGATCTCCTTAGTGCTACGCTCTCCTGATTCATTGTTTTCTCTTTTTGTGTAACCTTCAGCTTCGGTATGCAGCAGACACTGGGTCATTTTCATTTCACCACCCTGAAAGTTTTATTAGTATTTTTGAGTTATTAAATTTATGCAAAAAAAATAGAAAATGAAAAAATTAAGTTAAGCACTATAAAAAAAAGTATATATATTTCCTTCATAATAAATTTTGTTTGTATGATTAGAAAATGTCACATACATGAAGCAAAATAGGCCCGCATGCTGATTTCAGATTGTTCATGATTTCCACATCCGATGCTCTCTTTTTCAAGGTTTTCTTACAAACCTCTTTACAGTTTCCTGTTGAAGCAAATTCACAACAGTGAATATCTGAAAAAGGAGAAAAAAATATCAATAAAAAAAAAAAATACTGCTCAATCTAGAATTAGTCAAATATTTTATTAAGTTAATTTCTTAACGTTTATGCATTTTTAAAAATTGAAAAGTATTGCTGTCCTGCTATATCTTTAAATGTAATTTTAAAAAAATGAATACATTTACAAAATGAAAACAAAAAAAATCAAATTGATAGCAGTTTCATGTTTATAAAGTGGAATAAATAGTGTAAAAATAAGTTTGTATAATGTTACAATATAAAGTAGTGATAACAAGAATTAATTTAAGAGAACCATAATTAATAATAAATAATTAAAATGATTTAATATTAATTATTAGCTAATAACAAATATTTAAAAAATTATATTATGATTTTTTTTACAATTTATAATTTTTAAGACTAGGTAAAATTTTCTTTTCTCAGTATTTTTATTTTTTGTTTACTAGATGAAATTTTTATCATGAAAACACCAGTGATACTTTAGAATTACTTTTATGATTGTACAAGGTTTGCTATATAGAATATCTTGACTTGGAATGGGAAATAAGCACAAACTGTTTTATGCTTTCAAATATATGAAATTAAGAGTTCATATTTATAATAATTAAATGAGTTATTTATTTAGTCTAATGAGATTATATACAAATACAGTAGATGTGTATACTAGACAATAGATATATACTTACACTTCTGAGGGCTCGATAACAGAAATGGTTTGCTTATATTGTTGAGACACTGAAGGACAGGATTGGTACAGGCAGCAGTCACTCGCGACCAAGACATGCGACCTGTTTGTTGTAGCCATCGCCTACACATGCTATGGCATTCTGGACTACGAGCGTAACCACAGCATTCCTCTCCAGCCTACGCCAAAAACATTAATATCACTTAGAATCATAAAAGTCAGAAAGAAGTAAGACAATGAGAAGCTAATTCAGGGGAGTAGGTCTCAATGTGGATGGAGTCAGAACTAGGAAAAAGGAGATACCAGCATTCCAGATATTTGAGATTTTAATTTTTTCTTAAGAAAAAACAAGTAGTCCAAAGAATGTTTAAAGTTTGAGGATATGGTCAAATGCATGGAATGAAAGCTGGTCATTTGGAATTGTGGGAGTCCTAGCCAAGCTAATAAATATAGGTAAATCATATACACACAATATTCTCATAACCATTTGTGACAACATAGTCATAGATTAACCTCTAGCAATTATTATAATTTATTTTACCATTATGTATGCTGTTAATTATTGTAGTAACATTATTAATTTTTGTAAAAGTTTGTTACTTATATATATATTTTTTTTATTATTGAAATTTACAACTGTATCAAAAGATAAATAGAAGTAAATATGAAACAAGTAACATGACATGTACAACATGAAGAGAAACTACCCATTGGTAGCACTCTATTTGCTTACATTTAAGTCTGGATTTCATGATCACTGACTTAAGGGACACCAAAGTGGTTTAAAATTTGAATAATTCATTTGAACCATTTTTTATTTGAAATATAAAACCGTAATCTCAGTAAAATAAACCTTTTTTCTTTAGATATCATCAAATATGTTCTCAAAGTGCTTGAATCACAGTTTTTTGAAAGAAAGAAATTTAACTCCCTAATTCTGTTGCTAATGACCTTTTTATTATATTATGTTATATAATGTTATATAATTGATTACTACTATGATACTAGTAAATGTTGAAAAATGTTCAAAATAAATAGAAAAATCAATAGCTTTAAATAATGTCTACTAAAGCTAAAAGAGAGAGGGAACATTGGCTTCGTCTGACTAGTGCGTGTCTAGCCACCCACTTTATTATTTCAATTGCCTTTAAAGAATTTAATATTGATGAATTTATGTTTGTGTATTACCATGGCTAGCATTTATTATGGCCATTATGGGGACAATTCTTCAAAAATGTTGGATTAAATATCTTGTTTGTTGTAACAGACATTCCCTTTTCCCGAAGTAGGGAAAATAAGACCTGAATGATAAATAAATTGATCAGAAAAGGTGTTCATGTGTCTAGTGAATGAAATAAGGTTAACATAAAATATATTATAAACAAAAAAAAAAACATTATAGGTGCTGTTGGTGCCAAATAATATACATTTATGTTAGAGTTAAAATTTAGTTGTACTTAATAGGCTGACCAGGTAGATGCTGGCTGATGAAGTGATAAGGTTGATATAGAATCTTTGAGTTTCCTATCAAGGAGGAGGGGAGAGGGGTGTGGTGGCCGAGTGGGCTGGTTGCTCAGTAGCCTGATAACCGAATTATAGATAGTAAAATAACTGTAAGTTCGCATCCCGGTGGCAGTGGTTTTTTTTTAAACTCCAGCATTAACCCCCACCCTCACTCTCTAGCCCAGGAAAATCCCATATAGAGCACTATAAGGCGAGGTAGGGGAGAACAAAAAAAAAAAAAAAATTGTTGATTATTGATGAGCAAGCATGCCTGGCATCTCTGGATGTGGTGTTATGTGCTGGTATCTCTACTGCTCCTACCTTGGCCATTTCATGGGGTTGGTCTAGCTATGAATATTCTACTGTGTACTGGATCATGGAGACCATTTTGTAGATGGTCTGTTTCAGATATCTTGTACCTTGACCACTCTGGTCCCAGGTCACTAGGTAGGACATAGGTAGATATCTCTTGTTCTTTTGCCACTAGATGGCACTGCTTTCTATTGATGCATTTGAAATTATAGCTAACATGCTCTTAACAATCTAGATGAGTTTAGACGTAAACCTATGACCTCATGTCCCACAGTATCCTTTAATAATACCCCACTTATCCCTGTTGAACAAATCCGATACCTTGGACTTCATTTGGACAAACGTCTAACTTGGAATCCTCATACCAGACTGAAACGACAAGAAACCGCTCGACGTTTCCGACTACTCCAACACTTACCAGACATACGCTCTAAGCTTCCAGTTAATTACAAAAGACTTATATACATGACTACAATAAGACCTATTTGGACTAACAAAGTTGAGCTTTGGGTCTCCACTAAGCCATCGAATTCCTCTTGTATCCAATCCTTACAATCCAAAATCCTTCGGAAAATCCTCAATGCTCCTTACTTTGTCACCAATAAAATAATCCATAATGACCTTAATGTTCTTTATGTTTCCGATTTGGCCCAATCCAGATACCAATCCTTCCATAATAAACTTCAGAACCATCCGAATCCTCTCGTCTCTAACCTTGCTTCCTCTTCTATTCCTTGATAACCCTCCGAGGCGTCTGAAAAGAAGATGGCCTCGAGATCTCTTATTGTAAATACATTTTGTTTTTAGAGTGCTACCAGTGGGTAGTTTCTCAACAAGTCATTTCATGTCATTATTTTCTGTTATCAAATTTACTTAATGTATTTAATTTTTTAATACAGTTGTAAATATCATGAATAAATAAAAAAAAATAAAAAAAAAAGATGAGTTTAAATTAAAGAAGATACTTTTCCTCGCAGGAACAAAAAATATTCTCTGATGGCGCTAGAAGAAAAGAAGAGTCACTTATAATAATGGAGTAGTCTTTTATTGGTCAATAACAATTATAATGCTTTTGCCACAGTTGCTTCAAATAGTACATGAGCCAACTGAAGCTGCAAAAATTTATTCTAAGAAAAAGACCAATTGGATAATACTCAACTTTTTATAATTCATGAGTACTATTACAGAATGGTTGGATTTGATGCTATAGGCAGATGGTCTTAGCTAGAAGTTAAGAATTGGTAGATAATTAATTAAAAAACAAAAATTCGTGGCGGAACCTTTTTGCAAACGGATTAAACATGCTGTTGCTGATGGGTAGTTTGAACAGTTGGAATTCCGAAAGGGTGTAATTGGTTAATTAAAATTAAATATAGTTAATAGCTATCCACATAATTTTTAATAACATAGGATATTTATTTTTAAAATTAAAAAATATATCTATCATACCTCTTGCTTTTGGATGCAGCCATAGAGCACAAGTTCATCACTCCTTCTGCAGTGATGTTGTAGTTCTGATGCACTTTTTGCAGATTTGCAGGCTTGATGGCATCGTTCCGATTGAGCCTCTTCACAGCACACGCCCCAGCTGTATTCTTCCTCCACTGAAAAAAAAAAAACAGTAATATATTCAGCAATAATATGTATATAGTTTGTATGCAATTATAAAGGAATTAAGGTCATTGAATGGACTTGCTCAATCATATTCCATATTCCAATCAATGGATTGGCCATGCAGGACCTGTGGCTTGGCCTGCATGCTCTCCAGACCTGACATCACTGGATTATTTATTTGGGGTGCCATTAAACAAAAAATCTATGCAAGTTCAGTCAATGACCTTAATTTCTTACAACGAAGGATAATTGAATCTTGTGAAACAATAACACATATCCAGTTCTGCTACTACTGTTGTTGAAGAAAGAAGCCGAGCTGTTTTAATGCTCAAGAAAATCACTTTGAACAACACTTAATATGAATGTTAATGCCTACATTTAATTATTAAAGTAGTTAGAGCAAACGAATAGGTTTTATTTATTTTATATAATGTAAATAATTCATAGAAACGAAAATCTTTAGGTGTGAATATCACCTAAGGAAAGTGTTTCGGACATATCTTCAGAGGAAATTTTGTTTCTTTGTTTTTTTTGAGGTCCTCAGTTTATTTTTGCAGTTTGGCCACTTAATCCTGTTACACCCTGTATATTTAGAAGTGATATGTATATTGTTGAAATTCAGAAATATATTTAGTAGTGATATGTATATAGCTGATATACAGTAATATATTTAGTAGTGATACGTATTTAGTTAATATACAGCAATTGTTTAAGAGTTATATGTACCCCACCAACTCCTTCTGATAAATAATCTTTCATTTTTTTTCCGAAAAAAAAATTATAATAAATACGACTTTATATTAGTGATGGAGTGAGTCAGGCAGCCAACACTTTTCACTTTTTTTTCGTTAAAAAAATTTAAATGAGGATAGTTTTAAATAATTCTAGAAAATGGATAAGAAGACTGAAATATTTTTTAGTAATTATTAATGAAATTATAATATGTGGGATAAAAGGTCTTTTTAAAGTTACACTTAATTTTTTTTTAAATAAAAAAAAATTAGTACACAAGAAATTTATAAAAAATCAGGTAAATTGCATGGGCATTGTCCTGTCTCAATTATTGATGGGGGCAGGAACTATCAGACATAATGAAACTTTTCTTAGTGTACACTACTCAACACTAGCGGATCCAGGATTTAATTTTGGAGGGGGGCTTCAGCCCGAAAGCTTTTTTTTCATAAAAATAAAGATAATTGCTTTGGAAAATTAGAAAGAAACTAACTACCTATATGAACTGGTGTTTAAGTGATTCCTAAAGCCCTTTTAAATGTAATCACACTAATAATTATACTTTCAGAGATAATTTTTTCATCTTTTTTTCGATAAAACATGGTTATATTTTACCATTTTGGAGGGGGCTTCAGCCCGAAAGCCCCTCCTCCCCCCCCTCGTAGATCCGCCCGTGCTTCTCAAAAGCGGAGACAATTTTATAAACCCTCATCCAATTTTTAATGATTTAATAGTATTGAAGATATACGGCATGACATATCATCGAACGCTCTTTATAACAGATGCGGAAGGGATTGAGTTATTTTGATTGATAAGTTCCTCTATAAAGTAGAACAGAAACAGTGAAAGAAAACAGTGAAGCTCAATTTTTTTTTTTTTCCATAACCCCAGTTTTATATATGGTTTCGGTTATTACATATATTTAAGATGTTCCTTGTATCTTAGATCCATTTTAAGGTCTAGCTGAGTCTTTCTTAGTTGTGTTTATCTTTATTTCTTGACTTTCAATCGAGGTGGTGGGGCTCACCTCTATCTTGATATTTATAAAATTTTAAGAACATTATTTCTATTTATAATAATAACATAGTATTATATGTTTACTGAGAATTCGATTTGATCATAGGGTTTATATTTTCAATATTTTGATGTTAGTTTAACTATCCGCTTAATTAAAAATTCTAAAAAGATAGGTAAGGTACTGCCCAAGGTCAATGGGGCATGAATGAATCTCCTCCCCTTCTCCCAAGATATTTGATTGCTCTCATCTTCTTAAAAACAGTGCAAGCTAAAGTAGAATTTTAAAAATAATAGCTCATATGCAATGACACTTTCAGTTGTCTGTTCTTTGCTTTTCTCTTGTCCCCTTGTTTGAAACTTTTCATTTCAAAAATTCATAGCCTCGTCGAACTGTGCTCCTACAAAAATTCAAAACCCCATGAAAATGTACCCCCTCAAAAATTTTGATGGCGCAACTTGCGCCATGAAACCCCCCTGTGGGCACCCCTGGGTAAGAGACATTTTAAGGAAAATATTTTTTAAAACCTCAGACCATACCCTAGATATCATGTAATATTATTCTATCTGGAGTCTCATAGGAAAACATGCTTGAGCCAAGCACAACTATACTTATAAACGTCCGTCCTTGCCATGGTTTGGGTAATGTGTAAACGCAACTGAATAGGAACTGATTTTAGACAAAGGACTACGTGCCTACTATAATAATTGTGAACTTATTTATTCTTATGCATTTATTAAGAAAATTAAGTAAGATTTTAACTTATTCTATGCTCTTACGGGACGATAAACATACGAATCGTTTCAAACGTTGGGGAACGCTGAAAATTTTGTTTTAAAATTTTTTATGAGGGGGCTTATAGAAGTCAAGGTTTCGCAATAGTCATAACAAAAACTTTGTTATTCGGCCATTCGTTAAGGAAACACACAACTAAACCGACCATCACCGATGCATTAAAATTTGTTGTGTTTAATTTTCATTTATGATGAAGAGAGGAGATTGTGGAATCGATTAATTAATCAAAACGAGTTGTAGTCTCTCCACTTCTTTAAATTGTGCTGAGTTTATCGCTGGAAAAATAACAAAAATAACATTGTACATTGAGCCACCTACATCCGTGTAAGATTAGAACTTGATCTGAATATTGTGGCGGGCGGGGTGAAATTTTTGGAGTTTTTTCTCCTGATTTCAGGCTAATCCGTTTGGTTAATCCTACAAATGAATACGACAACATTTGTTAGGCTCGGGCAGTTAAATTGAATGACACCTTCAACGGGAAGACAAAGTTGAAAAATGAGTGTGTTTTACCCGTTTTATGTGACAACGCGTTACAGGTGTTCGGTATTCCGGATTTTTCCCGTTGAGTTGTAATAATTTTTCCCATCAGTTGAGTAGTACAACATTTAAATGTGGCTCGCGGTAGAATAGGCTGGGATTAGAATCGAAGTCACTGCCTAACCGTGATCTCTAAACAAATTACTCAAGAATTCATAACTTTGGTTCTACTCAATATTTTTTTTTTCATTTAAAGCCTATGTTTTAAGTCAAGCAAACCTTAATATAATGTATAAATTTCAAAAGTCTACAATAAGCCATTGCTGAGCTTACCCCAGACAAAGTTTCGTTGCAATATGGTCATACAGACTGACAAAAATTTATTTAAAAGTGGATTTGGTCCCTGAAATGTATGAAACGGAAAGATATCATAAAACGGGTTGATTCTATTCAATGTACAGACAAAACCTTTATTTTATTTATATAGACATCGATGAAAATATCGAATTTCGATAGTATCTATGTTTCAAGTTCGATATTTTGAGGACATCGATAGTTATAGGCTGATATATCTATCGATGATAATATTAGATTTTAGGCTTTCGATTTCCCATCCCTAAAGTTTACTGAGCTAAAATGACATAAGTATGATATGTGTAGGTTTCATTATAATTGAAGCAATCACTGTCAGTCTTGTGACTGTCATTCATAACAGATAGTGTACCGAGATCGACACTTATGTAATTCTTGTAAATCCCTTAAATATTTGTTCTTTTAAACAGCTGACTGAGCAGATAATTTTAAGTAATAGGATACGAGTTTCGAAATCGTGAATGTGATCAAGTTCACTGAACTAGAGAGGGGTGGAGAGGAACGTCATTGACAAAATTTGAGTACAATAAAGGGCCATAACCGATGCTTAAGTCGTGTAGAACTGCCGCGGCGGGTTTAGAACTTGGCCCTTTGTTATTTCATCCACACCTTGATAAATATTTATAAGGCTATCTGTATTCTGTCTTAAGCTTCCTCGGTAGGCTTATATGCACGCCATCCGCTTCATACAGCTTCTAAGATGACAGTCTTAGCAATATGGAGAAACCATGTTTCAATTGAAACGCAATATTTTTAATTATAACATTAATTTAAATGATTTAACTAGCAGTTATATGGGCCGCTTATTTTTAAAGTGAATGCTGTGAATTTTTTTTTTTTAAGGAAATCGAGATAAGCATCGATTCCTACGTAAAACACCCATTGGTGCATATGATGCAATAATTTTTTTTTTTTCATAAACGAACTTAATTATTCAAAAAAGTCGTATCAAAATAAGTTTATTTCCGAAACAGGTTTTTGTTTTTTATGAAGCTAGTATTTTGGTTTATTATTTTCAACAATGAACCATTGTAATCGAACAAGAAATTAAAAAAACTTAATCCCCTCTCAAAATTTGAGGTTTTACGTTTCAGGATTCGAAAAAGGAATAAAAATGTTTTTGTCCGTCAGCCGTCCGCGAATTTTCTCCGAAATTACTGAACCGATTTTTTATTTCAAATTTGGATTAGAGGTCACCCGAGGATGATCCTCCTTTCGAAGTTTTTCTAAAAGTGAGGTATCTGTGGTAAAAAATCGCCAATAATTAATAATTTTTAATAATTGGTAATTGGTTGACTGTCGTGGATAATAAAGAGAAGAATAGTTGGGGTGCTCAGTCAAAAAGGAAGGCAAAAAATAAATTATAATATTTATTTTTTACATATGCCGACGTTTCGACCTGAAGTTCAGGCCTTCATCAGGGCTTTCTCCTTAAGTGTCAAGGGGAGAAATCTATTTCATATTCATAATCATTTCTCCATTTGACACTTAAGGAGAAAGCCCTGATGAAGGCCTGAACTTCAGGTCGAAACGTCGGCATATGTAAGAAATAAATATTATCATTTATTTTTTGCCTTCCTTTTTGACTGAGCACCC